ATAGGGGATTATGGGTGTCTGTCTAATCTATCGCCTCGGCTTAATGCGTCTCGTTTTGAGGGAGGGCTTGTTTCAGATGTGAACCCTGTTGTTGACCACGAGGCCGCGACTGGTGCGCCATGGAAATGGGATCCATGGCCCTTGTCTGGGACCTGCGGGGGTATCGACTACTGACAATTCAACTATTCGACAGTGGTTACTGGTTACTGGTTCGTAGAATCGCAGGATGTTTGGAAACGTGCGTGGCCAGGGGATCCAGATCTGGCGGCGTGTATTGGAAATCATAATGCAGACTCTAGGGCAGACGGTGATCATTGGACGTGGCTAACATGTCTGCATTTCGAGAAAGGTTGCGACTTTATGAAGAACCTCGGATGATTTATCCAGACTTTCGTTGTATATACTGTCAGACTCAGCTAAAAGTGTGTATTACATATACATTGTTAATATCCACCTGCAGTATCAGATCTGAATCGGAGTGTGTAGTTGACAGCTGTAGATATTTAAAAAAAACTCTGATGAAAGGTCTAGCAGAGAGAGTCCAGCCAGTCCTGCGAAGACATTTATGAATAATGTTAGCAGTGTGAGAAATCAAGTCACATCACGTCCTTGTCCGGAACACCTCCAGTCAAAATCTCGAAGACAATCATATTTACCAAATGGAAAGGCGATGGGATTTGCCGGTATGTCGTCATGCTGAGCAAGCAAGATGGCGAAAAACGATTATGCTGCATGAATCATGGTTTTGATAATTTCCATCACGGTGGAAAAAGGGTCGAAACTCGCAGACACACGACCGTAGTGTAATATACTCGTATCATGAGGTTAAATGACCGAGAAACCCTGCAACCCCGGCAAGTCGGGCCTTGCCGTTGACGGATCGCCAGGGGTTGTCTTTCGGGCTTTGTAGATCTGCTTCGTACGCGTGGTATATGCATGATGCATCCTCGTTCAATATGAGCGATTCGCCTCTAGGTTTGGTGTCTTGTGATCAACGTAGGAGCATTGGAGGGTCTTAGCCAAGGATTCGGTAGTCACTAGTCCACGTGCACATGGATGTTCTGTCTTGGTCGTTCTGCCATTGAACTTTCCAGTCTCATCTCTGCGCCAATCTGATAATCTCCGGTGCCTTAGGCCCTGCACGATTGGCAGTCTATAGCTAATAGCCATTACCAAGCCTTTGAATACGGGAGAACATGCAACTATGTATAGTTTACAGTTTGAGACACAGGTCAATCGTTTGTCGATTCAGTAAGAGACTAAGAGTCTTCCTCTCAAGTCTCGAGTCTTGACTCTTCACGACGGAAGGTCAGTGTGCCCGCCGGTTGAATGTCTTAGCAATCATTATTAATCGGGGCCCATCCACCGTCGATCCTTCATAACTCTAAGACTGTTCAGGGAAAACTCTGTTGGACTGTCTATTTCGTCGACCGCTACAGAACTACTAAGAATGAGCCCGAAGACTAGCCCCAGATAAGTCGACGGTGGTGCAAGTCAGTAGTAGTGAGTGTCCGATTTTTTCATGACTGCTACTTCAAGTCAGAACCCAGCAGTATATCACTTCATGTCATCGTTTCCCTCATCCGTAACAATTTCGGCCCTGCTAAATGGTGGGACATTGTGAGATGGAATATTTTTTTTTTCTTTCTTAAATCTGCGTGACTGACTGGTTGAACGGATGCTTTGTCCGTGTGGGCTGTGAACCCACAAGGAGTCGACTCCGTGTAATCGCAAGGGTTCATTCGCCCTTTTTAGTTTCTGATCCCAATCCTAATGCTTTTTTGCCCCATCCTATTGTTTCCTCGTGCGATGTTTAGTCCAGTGTAGTTCCGGATCGCATCTCCTGTTCATTCACTTTGACCATCCACCTAGTGTGCTATGTAAGTGGGACTTCTTGGAGGACTGACTCGGTCGATGGGAGGCTATTGGTGTGGGATAATGTTAGCTCAGACGCTGCGTCGCACCAGAGTCAGGTATCCATGGATCCGTTGTTCATTAGTCAACAAGGAGGGAGGAGTCAAGTACTAATTGTATAAGTTAAGTAGTCAAGTACTGAGTAGTGAACTCGTGATAGCCTGTTCAAGATCTGGATTGCTACGGCAATGATAACCTCGTTGAGTCCTGATCGAGACTGGATCTTTGCTGATCGGCGATGCGACCGACATTGGGTTATCCTCCATACACAGGTCCTTAATGTAGTAGGTGCTGTCTGAATGCAAAGACCGCAACGCTAATCCAGACGCAGTGGAATGGTCATCCACCGATACTTCATCTTACCATGTTGACCAGTCTCTTGCAACTATCCATCCTCTTCGGGAGAAGTGCATGAACTGTGATGCACTGATGACTGCCAAGAAAAGACATGGCAGGATAGAAAAGGAAATCGAGGGAAAATGGAGGAAAGAAAAAAAAAGAAAAAAAAAAAAAGACCGAACCTGGAGATGAACCCACAATAAACTCCTCCTCTCGACCCAAAAAGAGTGATGAAATCATGCCGAGAAGGGGATTAGCCTCGGAGATCTTCGCTGGACAAGTCTTGGCCCCTCTCTGGCTTTTCTCCTCTCTCACACACACACACACACACACACACACACTCTCTCTCTCTCTCTCGCTCTCTCTTTCTCTCCACTTTAGCTATGATCATTTCGTCGTGTAGGTGCTTTGTGAGAAAAGTCGATGGCAGACTCCTGATTTAGTTGGCGGAAGTCGGCAAGGACAGGGAAAAGTCTCGATAAGGCTTGACCATCACTGCCTCTTGAACCACGAGCATCTCAGTCGGGGACAAGATTGTATTCCATGGAATGGTTTCTCCAGGACGTCCCCAAGTCTCAAGTCTCAAGTCCCTTCATACCTCCGCTTAGTAACTACTTTGTAGCTTAGAGTAGTATACATTCAACATTGTACTGTAACTGTAGTACTACCACGGTACTACCACAAACTTAACTATACCGAGGTACTACTTAGACTCGATCTTTCGATCATCCGCCACAGGACCGTTGCTTTATCTCGCCAAATGGCATGAAACATCTCATTGAAGATAAGTCTACCCATCTGGAGTCTACTACGGACAGCATGTCCAGTCATACTCATGTCACTAAAGAAAAAAAGAGACCTCGAAAAGAAATCCAAGAAATCCCGAATTAAACCCAAAAGTCTCCGAAATCACTGCTTGATTGCCGCCCCTCGAATGAATAAAGCCGATCCCGACGGCCACCAACTCCACACGAACAACCCAAAGTGACCTCCAGTGACCTCCAGTGACCCAATCCCTGCTGGCCCCCATCACTACACAAGTGGGTACCGTCGTGTCCCAGCTTTGTCTAGCTCCCCTCACTACACTTACAGTACTGAGTACACTACTACTGTACTACGACTGACACCCTCCATCTCCATCTCCATCTCCATCTCCATCTCCATCTCCATCTTTTTCCCTGTGGCTTTGGATGACCATCCGTCCTGTTCTCCATCTGCATCGCCATCGTCCACCATCGTTGCCCTCCGTCGGTCTCCAGTCCCAAACATGATCTGATTCCCAGTTGACGTGCACCCTCAATCGTCAATAATCCACTCCGGCACCCTGCCACCGTCTCACACTCTCGATCTCAAATCGCCCCTCCTTCCCTTTTCTTCCCCCCTTCCCCATTTGCCCATCTTCTCGTCTGCCTCGCTCTCTGCCGAGATTCATTCCTTCAATCTTAACGCGGTACCTCGTCTTACACTATTCGGTTTCCTCTGCCCAGTGCCCACATCCACATCCACATCCACATCCACTCCCACTCCCATTCCCACACCCACTCCCTTGCCCACTCCTACTCCCGCACAAAGAACACGCACACCCTGATACACTTCCATCCGTACATACATACCTTCTCGGTCATACCTTGAAACCCTCGCAGAACTGCAAGTCCCGGATTAAACAGTACCAGAAGTCCCCGAGCCCATCGAATGTCTCCACTCGGATTGTGAGCGCGATTCTCTCACAATGCCCGCGGTGGCCCGGCACTTGCTCAACTCTCTAATTTCCTCGTATGTTGATAACGCCCCACGCGCCGATTCCACGTCAGATCAACTGACGTTCGCCCGGCCTGGTCTTGGTCTCGTGGGTGGTTTGATGAATAGAGTCCGCACTTCCTTCTTGACTGTCAATTGCTCGCGTTCGGCTTTCTGCGCACCTCTGCCTCTCTGATTTTATAATTGGGAAGATCTCCCTCCTCCCCGCTGCCACCGTCCAGCTCGGGTACAGCGCCGCCGATCGCTTTCCCCACGTCCCCTTCGCCGCACCCGTCCAGGTCCAAATCGTTCGCAACGCGATCGCAGCAAAGGCAACCTTTTTACCCACACAAACGTGCGACGGGATCTGGGTGTCGCCTTTTGCGAATATCGCCCAAGTCCGTCGCTGGGGCCAGCCTGCTGCTACCTGCGATTCACTCCCGAGACTTCGTGAGCGCTCGCTGCCCTTGACGAACTGGCGCAGGGCAGAAGTCGCCGTCGCTCAATACTGCGGCCTGGAACCGAACGGCGTCTCTCTGATTTCGGGTTCGACGGAGTGCGAATTCACAGTTCTCGTCGACAATACGAGCTTGTAGTTGACACGCACTCCCCCGGGCTCGAGTTGTCATTCTCAGTTGGCAGTGACGACGCGTTCGCCGTTGATCCCTCTGTCGCCATAGCGCTGTCGCTCAGTGTGCTCACTGCAGTCGAAAAAATCGCGGCACATTCAGAGGCATGCAAGGCTATTCATTTGCGCCGCCAGCGGGGCCTCCCCGTGACGGCCAAAAAAGTAAGCTTGTCTTGCGCAGGATGCGATGGAACATCCTCCCGTCTTTCCAAGGCCTGCTTCCCCCCCCCCCCTCCAACTGCTCGTTGCCGGGCTAACCTCTCTCTTTCTCCTGCAGATTATGTTTTCGTTGACGAACACAATCGCCATAAACGCCTAAAAGGTAAGACAGGCGACACCTCCCTGCGACCTCGACAATGTTGGCTGAATTTCCGAAACAGTGATGCGAGCATGTAATGGGTGTCGAAAGAGAAAGATCAAGTGCGACGCTGCCACCACGAACACTTGGCCATGCTCGGCCTGCACTCGCTTGAAACTGGTCTGCGTGCCTCCAACCATCGGCCAGGACGGCGAGTTTATCAACGAGGGACTGGATTCTGTCCCAGAACCCAATGTCTCTTCCGCGACCTCCGAAACCTCCCAGCACACCTTTCCTGTCCCTCCGTCCTACAGTCACTCGAGTCAACACTCCCTGGGAGGAATGTCGTCTTATGATGGCATGAGCGTATATTCCTCATACGTGCAGTCACCATCAACACAAGCCGGCCTATACAATGACATACGCCAACCCCCCATGGTGATGCCTCATCAATCTTACCAACCGCAGTCTCAAGTTTATTCAGCCCAACCTCCACAGGCACACCTCACGACGACCCCCGAACGTGTGATATATGATAATGAGCAATCGACGGCGAACAACCTGAGCGAAGTCTTGGGCGAGCTGAAGATCGATGAGACGGGCATCGGTATGTCTTTTGACGGCAGCCATGAGCTAGACCATGGTTGATACGGTCCTCAGCCTACTGTTGAATGCTAATGATCTCGCCTAGCGCCATATATTCGAAGACAAAGGAAAGATCGCACGGAGCCAGATGCCCCGGTTCAGGATGAAGTGGAAGAGCGATTACCCCCACTCAGCACGGGAGCCGGCGCCACGATCCGCATCCCTCCCGAACTCATGCCCGACGACGAAGACGTGATGACTTATTTCAAGATCTACTTTGATGATATCCACCCTTATATTCCAGTGGTTCCTCGCGCCCATCTATATTACCAATGGCAAAACGATCGCAATTCGATCTCTCCACTCCTCTTGGAAGCTCTTTTTGCATGCGCCGGGCGTTTGTCAGACGAGCCGTCAGAAGGGGCTCAGTGGCTCGCAATGGCGAACAGTAAGTATTTCAAACTCGATCCCAAAGTACTGACTCGGCTTGGTTCGAGTGCTGAAGATTAACAATAATTTGGTGACAGGACATGAGTCCAGTTTTATGGACGTCCCTCGGCTGAGCACCATTCAGGCCATGCTTCTGTTGCTCAAGGCAAGAGAATCCTTACCTAAAAAGGGTTATTATTACCGCTCATGGCAGACGGTCAAGACGATCGTATCTATGGCCAAAGATCTTGATATTCATGAGCATTACAGCAATCACAGCGAGGGGCGGGCGTGTGAACTGAGTCCGATTGAGTGTCTGGTGAGCACACGGGTATGGCAGGCGATTCTAGTTGTCGAGGTGATGATCGGAGCTCCTCAGGGTGAGTTTTCTTTTTTTTTTTTGGGGGCATCCGGCGAATACGTCCAGTTCGACCATGATTTTAACCATTCAATGCAGGTCGATCGGATTACGGGGTGGACCCGGAAACTGTTGACCTGCGTCCGACGTTGGACATCCGTGGGTTGGATCACTACGAGACGGAACGGTCTCGACAGTTCGCTTACTTTGTCCGCAATGCAAACCACATCCGCATGATGACCGACACATATCACAAGATCAAAAAACAAAAGGACTGGGGCGCCGATCCTCGTTTTGTTCAGAAGAATCCGCTCTTTGCTGATTGGCTCCGCACCTTGCCTCCAGACTTGCAAGTCAATTATCCGGAGGACGGAGCGCCACCGTGGCTTCCATCCCATTTCGTTGGAAACATGCACTCTCACTGTCACTTGGCCATCATTCTGCTGCATCGTCCGCAACTCGTCGCATCTCAGTCATTTACAGCTGGCGGAGAGTGGAAGACTCACTTTTCCCTGTGCTACTCTTCTGCGAAAAATATCTGTCGTTTACAGGAAGCCATTCTGGAACGATTCGGTCTTTCTGGTTTGCTGTATATGCAGCGTGGTATTAACTTTGCGATTTACTGCATATTGACCTGCACCATGCTTCATTTGGTAAGTTTTTCATGGCCTCCTCCAACGCTGTTGGTTGCAGCACTCTACCATTGCCAAAGACGTCTCAAGATCACTCGTCTAGTCCTTCTTCCTCCGTGCTATTGATGGCTAATCAAACTCCCAGATCGCCATTACTTCTCCCGACCCTCAATTCAATTTCGATGCCCGGGAATACTTCACTCGTCATATGCGAATTCTTGAGCGATGCTCCACAGCTTGGCCCATGCCGGAGATTCAAGCGCAGATTGACTCTCTAAGGTTGGCCTTTTCCGCAGACACCCATCGACCCTTTGAGTTGAAACCCAGTTTCCCTTATGGCAGTCCCTCGGAACCCTATCAGCCGAGCCCTGTTATGGACACGCATTACCACCCACAGCTTGGCCAAATGTCCAGTAATGTCTCAACCAGAGTGGGTTTCCACGCACATCCCATCACTCCCCCGATTTCCGCCGGTGCTGAAGCAGACGCAAAGTCGGACACGTCCTCTCAGTTACAGTCCCTTGGAATGGTCCCCCATCAACCTCCTGCTACTCATTCACTCGAATCTCCGCTGGTCGATGAGAATACTTGGGACCCAACCCGCATTATCAAGTATGTTCCCCCTTCCGAAAACCCACTCAGCTCGTCCATTGTCATTTGACAAGGTTTGCTAACTTTCATGGCTCAGTCAATGGGATATGGCATTCTCCGTCAACCCTTCCACCGTCAGCACCAACTCCCCGCCTATGCCCATCAGCAATCCCGCTCAACCCATCTCCAACATGGTTCATCACCAGCAATATCCCATCCGCTACGAACAAGCGTCGAAAGTCACAGCTCCACAAAGTCAGTCCGTATCGCCGCCGCAATTCCAGGCACCCCCTGTTGTGTTCAGCGCACGTGACTGGCAACAGAGTGTGGCAAGCGTCTACGATCCTCAAGGAATGAAGCGCCGATGGAACTATTCCAGTGACGTGGGCGAATCGATGATCAAGCGACAACGTTGATTCAAAAGACTGTCGTTGTCTTTGACTCTGTTTGATGAATATGAATCGATCATATGGGATCTAAATTCATCAATTATATCTCCATGCCGCATGGTCTCTTCAAATGATCTTCGACCATACCTGCCATGCCTGTCCTACCTGCAGTAATGTGTGATCCTATTATGTACAGATATGAACATTTTATTTTCCCACTCCACGACTCTGTCGCCGTGGCTCAAAACCTGGGTGATTCTCATCCCTTCGACACACAATCATGTACACAGTACACTATTACACCAAACAATTTCCACCCGCTCTTCCTTTTGGCCTTGGCCAATCCCTCCATCTACTAGGTAGGCTCGGGTTGAGTACCTCGCGCAGCGTGACTCCTCAATGTCGCATCACGAAGTAGTGTCACGAAATACCAACACAACCTTATCTCTTATCTCTATCAGTACTACATCTTGATCCTGGCCGATCGGTTTCGAAAGGACATGGCTCCCTCCCGCTCTGTCTTCTCTTCTGTCCCCTTTTCTTCGCGCCCTCTATTCTATCCAGAACCGTAGGTTCTCAACATGGAATGTCATGACATGTCTGCTCCCTTCACATGTCACATTTTGTTGAGATTCGGCAGATAGGGATACAACGGCGTCCCTGTGAAATTGAATGGTGTGGTGTGAATGTTGAACTTCATGGCTTGTGAACATGAACAGAATAGACCGTGACAACGACGACGAAGACGAATGTGACGAGCACAGAGACAGATCAAGAATCTAGTCGATTATAAAGAGAACATCTCTAGTCAGATGCCTGGGGTATATTTTCCCCCTTGGGAAGACTCCCGTCCATGATCCGTCTTGGAAGGTACCTTAGTTCATTGTTTTATTAGATTTTGCTTAGTGCGACTGGGGAAAACTACTACAAATGGAGATACATAATGCTCTGGTGACATTCCCGAGGACATGATGAGGAGATGGACCTGATCATTCGCTTGGGCTTTTAGCAGGACCCCGAGAATCATATTGTAGGATACAAAGTGGCCGAGGCCCATGGTTGGTGGTTCTTGATACTTCATAGTGATACCTACACTGACGCGGCTGTATAACAAGTCGTACGTTCAGTCACTACCAGAAATGAAGACCCTGGTCTTGCGATCGTTTCAACTCAAACTAGCGAGGTCATTTTTCTACAGCGGTCATGCTCGTGCAGGTTCATGCCCGCGGCTAGTCCCATGGCTTGTGACGGTCAGGGTCAGACATGAAGACGTGCAGGATGTAGGCGGTAGACTTGCACGAATCGCAGAATATGACAAGGCGAGCAGAAGCAGAAAAGAATAAAGCCTTTGAACCTCATCCCGACCAGCACTGCGTCAAGACCGAGCAGTCTATTTTGCGGTTGAAGTTGATTGGAGCAGCATTCTTGCCGTAGCATGCGGCGAATCGAGGGCTTGTCGTATTTTTGCACATGGCGAGTCTCTCATGTCCCATCTGCAGATCTGCGCGGCAGACTTGACTTGGTCCTCCGATCGATTGTCGTTTCTCGATCATTCGCTTTGTGAAGAATAGCTGTGCTTGGGTTTCCTTGGTTGTCCAGTGGTTTGCTCTAACTCTTGATTTTCTTTGCGACTGGCTTGCAATTCGTCTGTCGAGGAGACGAATCGGACACATGTGGAGACAGGGTTGTCGCGAAATGCTGAATTATCTGCTTGGCCGTGCCTCACTGCACGGAACAGTAGTCCACTCGAATCAGAGGGGCGTGTGTCAAGTTTGCGCTCGTAGAGACAGTGATGCATGTCCACGGAGAGGCCGTTTGCAAGATCCTAGCGACAATGACTTCCACCAAAATTCCCATATCTCAAGCAGAAAGAAAATCGACACCATATTTCGAATCACAGCATATGTCCGAAGCAAGCCCGAGAACGCTCTGACAAAAGGGCCGCCCATGACAGCAACAGCAAAGGCATCCTAAGCGATGGGGCCAAGGACAAAGTCCCTCAACTCCGATGTCCGAGCCCGATTCTCTCTTCACGGCGAAGAATCCGCGCCTTGTCACCAGGAAGCGGTTTCAACTCATCGCTAGGATTGGCCCTCTTACTGTTGCTGCCCTGCTGGAGCGAATCGTGTTGTGCGCCGGACTCGCTCTTCTTGCGGAGAAGGGTTTCTTCAAGAGCGGCGATGTCTTCGGATGTTATGGCGATGGCGGTGGGTTTGCGACGGAGCATTGTGGTTGTATGTTTGGGATGTTGTGAGTGACGGTGGGTCAATTGTAAAATGCTACAGACTGGGTGTATCGCGTCGAGACTCTTGATTCATGTGGTTGAGCATTCTGCTGACACGGGGCGGTAATGCTCCTATCTCCGGCGGAGGGTCCGTGACGCTATCCACCGCCTACTGAGCCGGGGAGAATACCTTTTCATAGCACCAAGTCAAATTCGGAGCAACGCAAGACCGGGACTTCCATTGTTCATTTTGAACATGAAGTAGGCCATTATAGAGGCTTGAGTCGTTTCGCTCATGTAACATTCTGACGAACAAAAGAAAATGCAAAGCTCCAGTCGACATAATTATAAGAAATCTCCAGCTCCATAGTGTTGAAGATGTGACGGTCACGTGATCTCTTTCCTCTGGGCTCTGCAAAAGTTGTGTATCCGCCGAGTGTGGAAGCCGTCGACATCGTCTCACGCCGACCAACAACACTCACAGCACGATGATCCGGTCACAGCTAAGGCAAATTGCCTCTCATGGCGACCGAGCTTGGATGGGCATGACCGCCATGCCCATCCGCCAATTCTCTGTTTCGCATGTGGCAGCTGCGGAGGGTCCGGCGAAGCCAACACAACGTATGTCAAATGTACAAGGGCGTTTTGGCGGCGCCTCTGTCTCTCTCTCTCGCTCTCTTTCGAGCTGAGCGATCAAGAACCGAGAACATCGATGCTAATTGCCGGTTTTCTGCACATGAACAGCCCGAGGTGAACCAAGACAGAGACCTGCGCCTACAGGACCTCCTCGCAAACCTCGACCATCCAGTAGACCGGCCCCTTCTTCATCTACCGGAATGGCCAAGGGATCTGGTGCTGGCAACACGTTCAAACCGCGTCCCGCACGTGCAATCGATGCGCGTTCCCTGGCTGCTGCTCCCCGTACAGGAGGCGAACCACCCAAGATCATCCGTCGCCCTCGTCCTCGCACCGGACCACCTGGCAAGCCCATGCTCGGCCGCAAAGGGAAACTAGGTGCCAAGGGTGCTCAGAAACCCCGCCGCACGAAGAAGACGCGTCGCTCTGCGGAGGACTTCGACGAGGATGAGAGCGTGGCCGCGGCTATCAAGAAAGCCGAGGACGAACGGGAATTGAAGATGCGTCCGGTACCGGTTCCCTACGAGCCCAAGCAGATTGACTTTGCGGCTCTGAAGGAGACTTGGCCTGCTCTGCCGACGACCACGCACGCCCGTTCGGCTGCCATCATTGAAAGACTGAGTACGCTGAGTGGTCGTTTCCCAGGTGGTTATGTGCCTCCTCATGAGCTGGGTCGACGACTGTACAAGGGTCAGAGTGTCCTGTTTGAGACCGAAGCGGAGAAGACGGAGGCGCTGGAGGAAGTGAAGCGGCTGGCTCAGGCTCGCGCTGACAAGGTCTCTCAGAGAAAGGGAGAGCCCATTGAGCCTCGGGATATCAAATTCAGTGCTGTCAGCCAGGAACATACCCAGGCATTGATGGAGACCTATGTGCAAGGAAAATACCCTACTGTGGAAATTGGCAAAGACCAGCCCGCGGTCATGGGCGAAGTGTTGAGAAACTTGCGCAACAACTCGACTTATCAGACTGCTGGAAAGCGACCTCAATTCTTGGCCAAGGTCGAGTCTCTGCTGGCGTCGAGTCGCGTCAAGCGGTCTTAAAAAGGGGCATATCTGGTGATCGTTTTCTCCTATGTCCAATGTTCTCTGTCCACCCACACGTGTGTGTGTGTGTGTGTGTGGGTATCGTCTCTTCCTCCTGTTCAGACCACACGGGAGTGTGTTTCGCAGAGTGGCCTTTTACTGTATTATATCAATTCTTACACTTGGAGCATCTTTCTATCTTCTCTTCTGTTTGTCTCCGGTTTTTCGCGGGATTTGTCCATAGATAACATTGCCTTGAGGTATTTCGTTCTCCCATAGACGATCAGATGCAGCTTAGTGCAGTATGTATGACACTGACTCTCTATCGTTGGTAATAAATTTCATACGATCACAACAACACACTTGTCAGTTTGATCGTAATACATCGAAGAGATCCTGGCAATCCAGTTCTTCGAGTTTCCATCAACGCATGCCTTGCGCTTTCCCTTCCCCTTCACACTCACGCTTGTTCCAAACTCTTCTTCGCCGAATCAAACAGATCCTTCACATCCTTCTGGCCCTTCTCCGCAACCTTCTCCATCTGATCATGCGCTTTGCGCACATCATCCGGTCGGGCAATCTTCTTCTTCTGCATATCCTGAAGACGCTTGTGGATGACACCTCGCGCATCGCGAACCGCACCTGCCGCTTTTTCAAAGGCCTGTCGGGCAGCTTGCACGTTCTTGTCCCGGGATTCTTTGGTCGGGGGCGGAATAGGAATGTTCAATTGTAGCGTGTTGTGGGGATCGGTCTGGGGTGTCAGAGAGAGATTTGAGGAGATGACGGCGGATGAGACCGGTTTGATGTGCTGTAAAGGCGGAATAGAAAGTGAGGTGTTAGCTATCGACTCAATATATTCAACGCGTATGAAATGGAAAAAAAAGGCAATTACGGGGGTAAACGTCCTGTTCACGCCTGTTGATCGCGGATCGCAACTCACATCTTCTTCCGCAACAAGAATGGTCACCATCCGTCCTCCCTTGGGAACAACTTGCGCCAAATCACCCAATCGGGCCGTGTCCTGGCCATCCTTGCTCAATTGGACCTTGAGACTCTCCAAGACTGCCGTGTTGAAGCGACCACCTGAACGGAGCTTGGACAAGTCGTCCTTTAATCGGGAGAGCGCATTGGTGATGCCGGAGTGGAGCGCGGACAGGTCGTATGGATCATCGGCGCCGGCAGCGGCGACGGAGCTCGATGACCCTGAGGACTCGGCGTCTGCGTTGGAGCCCTTTTTCGAAGACGCTTTGTCTTTCTTCTTGTATAAGGCGGGGGAGGTGGTAAAGGGACGGCGGAGTTGGGGAACTGCGCTGCGGCGAGGTGTGGCCGTTGTCAAGCGGGACAATGGCGCAGGCGAGCGACACGGGGGACGCTGCGCGATGATAGCAGCGCCAGGCGAGTGACCGGGAGGCGTTGCATTTTGGAAACCGTACTGAGAGGTATGTGTTCCAAGGCTTCTGGGAAGAGTAAGAGAGCTCGTGAAGGTTGCACCGGCCGGGGACGGAAAAAGCTACGCTGATAAGATAGACGGTTCACTCCTATGAATACAGGGCATCTCCATTGAGACGGAAATCACACTTTCCTACAATAAATCAAACGTCTGGGCATCCAAACCCATCAGCTGGTCGCTGTCAAAGTGACACTACATGTGGATGCAATGAGAGAATTGGGTGCTGTCGAGTAGGAGACTTGATGGAAGCGTGTCTAGCACTATCTATTGGTTGGTATGAGCATCTAAACATGAGGTTGGAAATAGATGAAGTGAATAAAAAGGTCGTTACACATTAGATTTGCAACGTCGATCCTCGTCTACATGAAAAGGCGAACTTTTTAACATCTTGAGAGGGGGGAGGACAAAAATAAATCAGAGAATCTGCGCCGAGTTTGGTCCGGTGTGAATCACAAATAACAAAAAAAGAAACCATTGACCCGCAAGCTGCTCCAATATCTTTAGGTGGCGCAGATACTTGACCGGTTAGACGGAGCCGGACAAGAGAGCAGGTATTGGGTCATCCCATTTTCATGTCTCGCATTTAGCGGGTGGCCATGGCCTTGGTGATCAGGCGCTTGAGGGCAAGCTCCTTCTTCTTCAGGTCCTCGGGAGAGGAGTCCTCGATCTCGAGCTGGGCCATGGCGTCGCTGAGAGCAGACTCGATCTTCTCCTTGTTGCCACGCTTGAGCTTCATGGACATGGAGGGGTCGGAGACGATCTCCTCAACACGGGAGATGTAAGACTCGAGCTGCTGGCGAGACTCGAACTTCTTGGTGAACTCCTCGTCGCTGGACTTGAACTTGGCGGCATCTATGGAAAGGGGTCAGTAGATGTTCATGGATGAATTGGAGGGTGTGAAAAAAGGGGGAAAAGGTGAGCTTACCCTCAACCATCTGCTCGATCTCAGTGCTGGAGAGCTTGCCGACAGCGTTGGAGATGGTGATGTTGGCAGAGCGGCCGGAGGACTTCTCAGTGGCGGTGACCTTCAGGATACCGTTGACGTCGACCTCGAAGACACACTCAAGGGCGGCCTCACCGGCGCGCATGGGAGGAATGGGAGCAAGAGTGAACTCGCCGAGGGAGGTGTTGTCGGCACAGTTGGTACGCTCACCCTGGTAGACGGGGAACTGGACGGTGCTCTGGTTGTCAACAACGGTGGTGAAGGTACGCTTCTTGATGGTGGGGACGGTCTGGCCACGGTTGACAACGGGGGCGAAGATGTTACCCTCCATGGCAACACCAAGGGAGAGGGGAACGACATCGAGCAGGAGCAGGTCCTGGGTCTCGGCGGAGGTAGCCTTGCCGGAGAGGATACCGGCCTGGACGGCAGCACCGTAGGCGACAGCCTCATCGGGGTTGATGCTCTATAGATCACAAAGTCAGCCATTTATCTAGGTCTTTCTCTGAGTACGGGTGTTTTCTTACCTTCTCGAGCTTCTTGCCATCGAAGAAGTCGCTGAGGAGCTTCTGGATGCGGGGAATACGGGTGGAACCACCAACGAGAACGATCTCGTCAACCTTGGCCTTCTCCATGGCAGCATCCTTGAGGACCTGCTGGACGGGCTCCAGGGTGCCAGAGAAGGCCTTGGCGTTCAGGTCCTCGAAACGGGCGCGGGTGATAGAGGAGTTGAAGTCCTCACCATCGAAGAGAGAGTCGATCTCAACGGTGGTCTGGGTGGCGTTGGAAAGAGTACGCTTAGCACGCTCACAAGCAGTGCGGAGACGACGGAGGGCACGGGCATCGCCAGACAGGTCCTTGCCGGTCTTCTTGTTGAACTCCTTCTTGAAGTGATCCAAGAGGTTGGTATCGAAATCCTGACCACCAAGGTGAGTGTCACCGGCGGTGGCCTTGACAGTGAAGACACCACCCTGGATGTTAAGCAGGGAAACATCGAAAGTACCACCACCGAGATCGTAGATAAGAACGTTGCGCTCCTTGTCGGACTTGCCGGAGCCGAGACCGTAGGCGATAGCAGCGGCAGTGGGCTCGTTGATGATACGGAGAACGTTAAGGCCAGCGATGGCACCGGCATCCTTGGTAGCCTGACGCTGGTTGTCGTTGAAGTAGGCGGGGACAGTGATGACAGCCTTCTCGACCTTCTTGCCAAGCTTGGTCTCAGCAACCTCCTTCATCTGTTGTGGCAATTGAGATTAGTACGTGGTTCATGTGAGACTCTCCAATCTGACAGGGAGACGAATACGATATGTTCGCGCGATAACTGACCTTCATGAGGACCATGGAGGAGATCTCCTGGGGAGTGAAAGTCTTGGTCTCGCCAAGGTACTCGACCTCGACAGCGGGGGCGGTACCCTGAGCAACGACCTTGAAGGGCCAGGACTCGACATCCTTCTTGACGATGGGGTCATCGAAGGGACGACCGATCAGACGCCTGTACTTTGGTTAGTTGATGGTTCAACGAATCAATTGATCTTTATCATCGTCTAGCGGTGCAGACTTTGCGGTCGACATGAATTGACTTTTTGACGACAATCTGGGTGACACTCTGGGTGGCACTCACTTGATATCGAAGATGGTGTTCTTGGGGTTCATAGCAGCCTGGTTCTTGGCGGCCTCGCCGATCAGACGCTCCTTGTCGGTGAAGGAGACGAAAGAGGGGGTGGTGTAGCTACCCTGGTCGTTGGCGACTGTTTACAGCTGGTTAGTTTTGTCGTGGTCGAGAATTCTGCGTGGGGCGAGGAGAAAAAACGCACTGATCTCAACGTTGGTACCCTCATAGTTGGCAACGCAAGAGTAGGTGGTACCTGAAAAAGGGTCCAGTTAGCAAAGAATTCGCATTTTTCATCCCATTGGCATTCAACATACCCAAATCGATACCAATGGCACCGTCGTAAACCTCGAGATCCGCCATTGTGATGTGTGGTGGGTGAAAAATGGGAGAGTGGGAAAGGGTTTGAAGGAGGGGTTGAGCCGGGGAGGGAATTTTTTTTTATAAACGGAATGCCAGTGTGCCACCCTTCGCTGGGCAGAAAAATTTGCGGCAGCGGTGAGTCACGTGTCTTTGTTGGGGGTGGTTGTTGGCCTCCGGGGATTCGCAACTTCGTTTAGTTTTTGGGCCAAATTGTTTATTTTTCGGGAGTATAATTTCTGGTTTTTTTTTTTTTTTGCCATTTTCCGATTAGGGTTCATCGCTTCGTGTCAGCACTACTGCTCTCGAAGATCCGATCCTTGCCCGTCATTTCTTCAATCTCTTTATTCTGATTGTTTTCGTCGTGTCGTGTCTGTCTGCGCTCTGCAATGGTCCAATCCCTTCTTGCTGTCCGTCGAAAATCCACTTATCATATCTCTCGATCATGATTCACATCGCAGGACGGTGGCCAGAAAATCTTTGGTCGCCTCGACCTTGTTGTAGCCCCCGATTGGCTTATGCTGGGGCAAACAGCCAGACACCCATTCTGAAGTGGACTCGACATCGATTGGCCTACGAGGTGAATAGTCACATGATCTTACAAGACTTCTGCACCGGAGCTACAATCACGTGGCTGTCCTGCACATCTTCGGGTGCCCAGCGAAGCTAATCTACCGCAGTCGAATTGTACCCAAAATATGATTAGGATCAAAAGACCGTTGACACTTGATAAATATGGCATTATCGTGCTGGTAAATAAGAGGAGCCACCGATGCTCTTATAGTCTTTATTATTATATCAACTGAGGCCACTTGACCACCCTCAGATGAATGAGGCGCGTATCAAGCCTAGAAGTATCAGGTTATGTTGGCTATCTTATCGTTTTAGACATGTTCAAGTGTCAATCATCAGTGAATTAATAACCACCATCTCCAAACGCAGCGCGTAAGGCACACCATAGCCCTAAAGTATCAGCAGTGTTGTTGCTGTAAACAGAATACCAGCCAAGCATAAAGCGTCTTTGCTTGCAATTTCAGCCTACGCACGCAGGGGACATGAATGAAAGAGACTAATGAGCATGATCCTACCGCTGAGAAGATCCATTCTACGGAACAGATCAAAGCGACCAAGGGTAGGGGAATAGAGAAGTCAGTGCAGACGACAGAAGGTGATGTTTGACACGGCTTCCTCGTCTATAATCAGAGCCAGAGTTGTTGACTCAACAAATACTTTCATTGTATTCCTACAGTAAGGGGTCTGTCACCCTAAAAGTTTAACAGATCGTAACAGAAATCCTCACATCCCTAAAAGTACAGCGGATCACTGTAGAAGCTGGAAAAAGATGGTAACACGCTCGTAATCAATGTCGGATCCCGAAGGGCCAATTCTGGCGACACCCCGCTCGGGACCGGCAATGGCTTCCAGGTGAACAGTTGTGAGTCCAGGGGGCAGAGGCAGATCGAAGGTCATTCCAGTAGGGTCATTTGCAGATTGATGAAGGCGTTGCATACCGACGCGAGCGACCAATTTGACGTGTCTTTGCTCGGACGATTGCATCACCGTTGGCTTGATCGTCACCAAGTTGTGTGTTGCTGGCAAGGTGATGGTCATGCTGTGTTGAGTGAGGGTATTGGATGCGGGAAAGTGCACATTGAAGCTGTGGTTCAGATTTAGAGATTCATGGGTGAACACATGTACATTTCGGATCAGAGCTGAACGAGCGTCTGTGGGGAAACATTAGCGTGACTTGGGAACTTGATGACTTGACTCGGAATATCAAGCGTCAGAAGGATGATCTTCTCACCTTCACCTGGTCGTCTGACGATCGATTCAAGCGCATTGAACGGAGCCGGCGGCGGCGCAGAAGCTGGGCCCGGGGCTGTGATCAGGGTTAATAAATTATAATCGCTTTTCAAGTTGAAGATTTCTAAGTCATCGGAGGTCGTCTTACTCTCATGAGTCTCCGAAGGGGCATTGTCCCCGCCGTGCGGCGCATCCGCGGTCTCGCTGGGCTGCGGTGCTTGTCCCGCAACCTCCGAATTTACCCTATTGAATGCAGCTTTGGGCATGGCGGATGTTTCAGAAGGCTGATCGGCTGGAGAAGGCGTGATGGTTGCGTTGGACTTCGAAGGACTGGCAACGTTTCGTCGTAAAGATCGATGTCGTGGCGAAGTGCGATGTGCATCGGTTTCTTGGCTTGTGGAATGGGTCCTGGCAGTATCTGCCCGTTGTTTGTTGGAAGTGTCGCCGACATAAGCGCCGGTGGGGGTGTCTTCTTCCTTTGCAGGGGTCTCGGAGGTCTGTCCAGTCACCTTCATCGTCAATCCAAGGAACTCTGGCCTCCGCATTGTTCGCGCTCATCCTGAACTTGGTACAAGGCGGCTTGAAGGGTTGGCAGTCTACCTGTTTTGAATCCGGTACGTGTTTCTTGGCTTCTGCGACCCTCTTCTTGAAATGCTCCTATTTTCTCTTGTCAACAAAGGCTCCTGCTACCGGCCAAAGGACAGTCGATGGCGAAAGAGGTTGATCATTTGTACCATACCTCAAGAATTCCTGCGAGATTGGAAATGTCGCTGCCATCCTCATTATATTCCCTCGCATTGCGCCAGATGTACGCCACTTCGTCCTCGAACAATTTCCAGGTTGGGAACGCGGTCGTCCGTGAAGGGTTCTTGCGACTGTCGGTACCGCGCACTTGCTTCTGGATCGTTCGCAATGAGGTCGGGTGATGGATGACTTCATAGTAATCCCGATAGAGATTGCGATCGGGTTTCCCTATGAAGGGGTATGCAACGTCCTCCCCACTGCGCACAAGTGGTCAAAATCGGGTTGTTACAGCAGCGTGGTGCTATGTATGGGCCTGCTGGGGCTCAACTTACTCGTCATCCTTCAGTCGCAACAATTCGGCCATAATCTTGTCTTGCGCCGTTTGTATACTGTCACCTTCAAAGTCCTCCTCGGGTTCCTGGTCTTCTGCGGGGGCTGCGGAGCCTCCTTCTTCATCTTCGGCTTGCTCCACGGCCTCTGCAGAGGCTTCGGGGGACGGTGTCTGATCGGCTTCGGGACTGACGGGACTCGCTTCCTATGGTGTGTACATTGGATGATTAGCGGCGTGTATCGCAACGGCCATGCTTATCGCACTGCGGTGGTGAATGCGATCATGTCGCAAACGCGTGAACATCTTGGTCGCTTGCCCCAGATCATTACGCGACCATATCCGAGCATGGCCAGTAATAATGTACCAAGAATGGATGGCCACCTGAACGGACTTCTCTTGCGGGCAACGGAAACGGCGCAAAGCCAAAGAGCGCGGCGACTTACAGACACCTTCCGTCGCTTCTGGCCGCGGAGTCTCATGTCCGGGGAAGCTGCTGCTGCCCCACGGCGTTTTGTGCTCATTAAGGTGATTTGAAGCGAAGAATCTGAACGATCAATGATTCCAAGCTGTCTCGCCAAGGCTGGTTCTCGAGTGCAAATGAACCAAGTAATCACTCCAAGCGCTCATACCTCGATGTGTACAGACTACAGACAACGCGCTGCGATCATCCGAGTGGAGTCCGACTGCCGCCTTAGGTAAGTGGAATTCATGCGGGCGGGACGGGAGCTCAGACGTGTTTATTGTGTTGACTGTTGAATCCGACCGCCTTCCGTCTAGAGAGACTGGGAGAAGCCGAGCTACGGCAAGGTAACTTTGGGTAACAAACAGCCATCTATTACTACTGCTGGATTTGTGAATCGGGAATCCTAATGACTCTGTATGTAGATCTGTACCACTACCGAGCGGGCCATGCCTCCGAATTGGCCAGCCAAATGTCCATACTCCCGGGCCAAAGTCTGCGAATTGAGTCCGAAGACCTCAACCACGTGAGATTCCTATACGCATTTGCGCATTAGATTGGTTTGAAATCTACCTCTTGTTATCGGAGTGTCACATATAAAACACGAGTCTTCAAGTCTTCGTGGAAACAGTATGGCCATATGAGTACGTTCCAAAATGGCATACACATCATGGGTATACGTTTTTGGACTCCCCTACCCTAACAACGTCTTGGATCACCTCCTTCGACACCATTGCTGCACGAGTCCCTCAAATTATGCCAATGCGACTTTCTCAGGCCAGGTGGTTCCATTGGTGAAGCTCGAAATCTCAAGTCTTGGTCCCCAAGTATGGGAATCGTGCACACCCATACCTATTACCATAGGGTTTACATTGTGTACAAATGGCTTACTCAATTTTGGGCCAATCTGTTCTTGAATTGGAACGAACATTGTCGCTCGAGGAATAGCGCCGACATGGAAAAGAATTGGAACAAGGTATGAAACGAGTTCCAAGGTTTGACCATTCGAAGAGCTGTGTCTCGTTGAGATGTCGGGTCATCCTGAATTCAAATGACGAGGATCATCTCCAATCTCCACTATCTGATAGACACCTTGTCTCTCAGGCTTAGAGCCTCCTTCGACCCCTCCTCCATTTTCCGCGTCCCGCAAACCAGCGCCGATTCTCTGGCAGAACAACGTTCTCAATCCATTCAAAACAATCGTTCGTTTTCTCTCTAATTGCGCCCTTTTTCCTCTTGCATTCCACGTCTCTCCGCGTTCGAGCTCTGATCGTTGTCACCGGTCGCGGCTTGCAACAATCGCTGTCAGCAGACTTCCAGTCCCTGCTTCTGGTTGCCAGTTCGCAAAATCTTGACACTGACCGTTTCACGCAGACTCCAACACTAGCACTTCAACCACGCCACGTCCGCGTCCTTCTCCAGCTTCAAATCACCACACAACATGGAGATCGATATGAGCAGAAGAAATAAGAAGCCTCGTCTCCTCCTGGAGTCTGAGCGCGAGCGTCTTGACGAATTTATTGACTCGATTCACTACTCCGCACGGTACGTAGGAAATCACGCACGCGACCTGAGCGTTCGATCCTCTCTCATTTGCCTTTCATCTGCTGATGCGATCGCGAATCTCGATAGATACTCCGATGACAAGTTCGAATACCGTCACGTGCAACTGCCGAAGAACATGCTCAAGAAGATTCCCGCGGACTACTTTGACAGCGCCAAGGGAACGTTGAAGTTACTCTGGGAAGAAGAGTGGCGAGCGCTCGGAATCACACAGGTGCGTCATTGGGTTTCGCACTTTCCTCTCCCAAAGGCATCTCAGCGGTAGTCTGCATGCGAAGATACTGACTGGAATACACATGGAACTAGAGCCTGGGATGGGAGCACTATGAGGTCCATGAGCCCGAGCCTCATATCCTACTGTTCAAGTGAGTGAGACATTCCTCTCGTACTGGAGACTCCCTCACTCCTTCTACCAAGTTCGAGGACTGACCCTTTGCTGTAGACGCCCTCTGTAAGGACGCATGTGTCCTTCTCAGGGTGAACTCGCATTTCCGTCAAAAGATCGGCGATCGCTGCACTTGGTTTTTCTTTCTATGATTATCTGTGTTTTCGTTTTATCCTCGTCACTCAGCGAAACATAACCGTGGTTGGTCATTTTTACTATCCAATTTTTTCTTCATTATCTTCTTCTTTGTCACGCATGGACATTGCCCTGTCGTGGACGTCCAAAAATTCAATAGGGTCCACCGCAGCTTCGGAAAAGGAGTCGGAATGAGAGATGCACCTTGCTTTCTTTGTCTTTGTTGGGGGGAAAGGTTCCTCAGACAGGTAACGCTCCTCGGGACAGACTACAGCTGCGGCCGGAGGTGAAGTTCTCGTGCGCTGGGTGGTAATCTGGGCTGTCAAACAATATTCTTCTCGAACCACTCCTGCCACTGCGCCTCAGTGAAACTGCTGCTGATGCCGCGTTCCTCCACACCCTGTGATTTCGAGTTACTACGGCCTTCGAACGTGATTCACGTACTCGCTTTGGGAGTGGAGATGGGGTTGATCTATGAGCGTCACATACATTGAAGAAGACGGTTGGCGTCACGTGGACTCCGATCACTCGGTTTGTCTGGTTCCCAGAATCAGAGTCTGTTGTTCAAGTCGTACTCGGACATCTTCTCAATCTCACTCACCTTGGTCATCCACTTGATGTCATCAGTCACTTGGTTTCCAGCATTTAACGACTCGGCGTTGACGGCAGTCTCGGGGATCACCAGCATGTCCAGGATTTTCTTCTCATCCACGCCGACGGACCCAGCAATCCTGGCCAAGCGCTCATACGTCTTGTTTCGAGTCTCGTTTACAACGTTGACATCGAAGAAATCCTTCTGCTGTTTGAACAGGGCGGCACTGAACTCCCAGAACTTCTCCGGTGCTGCTCGGAGTACGGCGGCTCCTGCCTCGTGGGTGAGCGTAGATGATGGGTGCCATGGCTGGATTTGGAGCCGGAAAATGACTTGGAGTCGGGAACTGTAGTTCTTAGCCACGGGGTTGCCATCGGCATAGAAAGTCTTGAACATCTTGGCGGAGAACTGCGCCGAATAGAACAGCTATGTCTTAGAAAATAAAGCTCGTCATGTAATATCAATGGGGTTGATCAACGTTACCGGGCAGACATAGTCCAGATCTGATAGTTTTTGAGCCGTCAGTTGTCATTGCCTTTGATTGTCTACACATCAACGTACAGATTTCCAGGGTATGCTGGGCCTCAGACGGAATGGCTCGGAAGAGCTTCAGACCGGCGTACTTAGGCGGGACCGACATGCTGATTGAGGGGGAAGGTTCGGTTGATGGATGAAATAGCAGACTGCTTTGAAGAGGTAGACAAGTCGTAGCTAGTACTGCAGTCTAGAGGTATGACCTGATCGGAAAGAGATGTGGACAAGAGCAGGAAAGAGAAGGTCATTCCAAAGTGAACAATTGCGTCAGTGTTGTCAATGGCGACTAACTGAATGCAGAAAGCACCTGGCGGGTTGGTTCAACACCCCCCCACCATCCGATCAATCAAGTTCTGTACGCTGGGCTCGAGCGCAGATACGTAGACTTGATCAAGCTGGGGCTAGACTGCTTCAATTACTCCTAAGTCTTGATATCAAATGTTGTCCACTTTTCATGACTTGCATTCATCAGCCTTGACTGCTGGAAATCTTAGACTGGCTGAATTATCGGGGCAGTGTCGAGGACGCAATAAGCACTTTTAGCTGACTTTTCCCGACCAATACTTTAAAGTTAACAACATGCCGTTTTCGTTCACACTATGGCTGGAACAAATATCCGAGTAACACACTATGTGAGTGGCAAGTGGGCATTGAACCCCCTCTGAACTTCTGAAGTATATCGGAGATGTTCCAGACCTGGTATCGGACGAGCAACCGGAGATGTACGAATCCAGGTGGTTGCGAGAAGGAGAGCGACAATAAATATATCACCGATGGGATCATTGAAGGCTTCTAGATCCGTCCTTCCCCAAGAGATAGGTGCTTGATAGATACATGCGCTCGGTCAACTTCTATGAGTATTCAATTACACATCGTGGCGTGTAATAGTATGCTTTTGGACGGGGAGTACATACGATATGATCATCAGAGGAGGGTGGCAAGTAGGCCAGCAGTGAGCTTACTATATAATATGTATACCTATTCCCTTGGTCCTTATTCAATAGGTACAAAACATACCTATGGAATGGGGTTAATCTTAGTGCCATGTTGTTAGGCTCAGCCTAGTAGATGGTCTGGATCAGAGTGGGGGTTCCAAGAACCAAGATGGCTCCTGAGTCCTAGTATTGATAGAGACTAATCGCTGAGGAGTTCTGAGGGATGCTGTGTTCTCAGGTTCTGTGGTGGTTAAGTTCTGCGGTACGCTAGGCGCCTGCTACCACCTACACAGTATGCGTACGGCTTGACTATGCGCGTAGTGCGGTCTGAGTCGTAACAGTATCGGAGTAGGCGTACGGACTATATTTGCATTCGCTGATACGACTGATATATTTAACTTTGCAAGGACCTAGCTAGGGTCTAGAGGCGTCATCCCTACGGCTCCAATGGCTGATTTAACCATATCTGGCTTAAGCACCTCCTTACGCGTCGTAGGGTAGACTGGCTATGCGCCGTAAGTAGTAGATTCGCTACATCGCGCAACTGATCAAGCCTAAGGGCAGCACCGCGAGAGCTAAGAGAGAGAGAGCTAAGAGAGAGAGAGCTAAGAGAGAGAGAGCTAAGAGAGAGAGAGCTAAGAGAGAGAGAGAGAGAGCTAAGAGAGAGAGAGAGCTAAGAGAGAGAGAGAGAGAGCCTATTTTAGAAGCGCACTCTCTTCATTTTCAGTTTATTTTCAGCGAATTTGCGCATAAACCAACGCGCGTAGGCCTACCCTTAAGGCGCTTGCCTAAGGTAGTATGCGACACTTGATAGCACCTTGCAGCTGCGCGAATTAATGTGATCTGGCCGACTGGCCCTCTTGGTAGGCCCTGGCTGCGATTAGAAGCCTACCCTCTTGTTCCACCAACTTTGAGCGACTTACCAGCCGATTTAAAGGCATGGTGGGTGGTTGAAGTTGGAAGGTTGAATGTCTTGGCGCGTTTTGACGCGACTGTATCGCCCGCTTGGGTGTATCGCTCACTCGGTTAATACGTTAGTCACAGAGTCCGGACGTTGGGTAGACGCCGAAACTACCCCGGAGACACAGGCGCTGGGGTCCACAACCACAGGTCGGGCGGGGACTCGGCAGTCGACACTCTCTTAGGATATAGTAGTAGTGGAGAAAATATTGTTCAAAAACTATTGTACGCAATAGAAGTGATTTGATTCGGGAGTCCTCTCCATAGAAGGTCCTTCCAGCTCTAGGCTGGCTTTCATACCCCAGAATCTATCTCCATAGTTTCCGGAGTGTGTAGTGAAAAGTTCCCGGTACCAAGTTCTATTATACAACACATTTCGTCCTCTAACCAAGAATAATCTCCATTCAGCCTGTGCGAAAACTACAAATGGCAGAAATACTCACCTTCATACAATCATTTAAGATTCACTCTGTTAGCCAGTTTTGCCGCGGAGGTCTAGGCCGGAACCGACAATCGCGCGCTTACTTGAGTTTTCGGTGACAAGCCCGCCCGGGAGACACCCATCATGTGATCTGTCTTTGCATTTGCCCGATGATTCAATGTCTGAGAGTTCTTTGCGCAGCCTGAGCCCGACCGTCTTCGTTCTTTCTTGAATCGCTGATCGCAACGGTAGCCAGCTTGTGCATTTACTTCTGGAGTTTCCTTCTCAATGCTCAGACTCCGACAGCTTTTTCGATCTCAGTCCCGGTCACCGCTCTCACATCTCGGTCCTCGCCAACCCCCTCACCAACCTGCGGCGATTCGGCATGTGAGGTTCCGGCGGCCTTGGTTCAGGTGAGTCCCACGTTCTATACCATGTGTCATGATAAGGCCATAGTGTGGGATTGTGAGCGCTGACTTTCTTGATTTCCATGCTGGTAGGTCATTTCTGGGCAAGGCGATCTTATACGGCACCGCATTTCATCTTTGGAGTTCTTTTGTACTCGTTCGCTTCGACGATGACGATACCCAGACAGATAAGGCAGCCTCGAAACAGAGACTTGATACGAGGACTCTCCAGACTGCTGCTGCGACGAGGAACGACGCCTTGGCCGATGAGGAATCTGGAGAGGACGACAGCGTCTTCATTCCGCTGACGTGGTCGTGGATGGAAGAAGGCGATTATTACCGCGCTTCAGACCCCGAGTGGCAAGAATTTGTCAAGATCTCCAAGGACAAAAAGAAATTACAGGAACTACGAGGTACGGCGTTGTCTTTTTTTCTCGGATAATCACTTGGTCATCAGTGGCCTGCGCTAACAACTTGAACAGAGGAACTTGCGGCGCTGGTGCTGAAGACTGCCAGTGACTTGATGGCCCCGGCTTTAGGGTCTCCTCTGACACTGACTGGGTACTGGCTGGTCCATACATTCCCGTCGCGCGCTCCTCCTCAATATGTGCGAGCCGGGTACGTGTATTGAAGCCACCCATCCCAAGACCGCTGCAAGACACTCTTGCTAACCAGGACGAACATGTTAGGATCGAACTTGATGATGAAGGTATCTCCTTGGTGACGAAACCCTTGGATCAAGATATCGGCGACCGGATACACAGCGCCATGAACCCGATACACGTTGCTCTTGCGATCAAGGATGCATATTATCTTGTGGTCCGACGAAAAATAGCCCGGCTACTCAGCTCCGAGTCGCAACCTGACAACGGCGATTTGAGGGGGAAATTCATTCTCTCGCACGGAGAGCCCAATACGATCAGCACCCGCGAACAATCATCAACGGACCCTTCCATGTCAGAACAACCTTCGCAGAATATTTTGCCCAACACAGAGCCTGAGCTGCATCCGTCGTCCATCATCTCGTCATTACAGCGCCTTCCACTTCCCGACCTCGGTCCCGGGTCTGACCTGCAACTGGCATCCATGGCATTCAGGCTCCGACTGGATGAATACAAGAGAGAACAGGGCTCGCGTACACCACGGAGAGGCACGTTCTTCATCTCAGGCCCCGTCGGAGTCAAGGGCCCTGACGGATATTGTCGATTTGAAGTCCGCGGTGAATACGATCCCGCGACTTCTGCTTGGCGGACGGTACAGATGGATTTAATGGATGCCAATCCGCGAAAGCAGAAGCCCGCCCGAAGCTTTTGAACCTTTGCGTCCCTTGAACTTTTATTTTCTTAATTGCATCATTGGGCATCTTTGGCTGGAAATGGGGTTCATTGTTCTTTCTCTCTCTTTTCTTGTAGATCTGTAAATATTCCATACATTTCCATCGTTCGAAACCCACCTTCTATGCCCTCGCCTCCTCACATGGGCTTTGCCGCCCTTTCTTGTAGGCCTAAAGGACTTCTTGTAAGACCAACAACGATCTCGTGAAATTGAGACACAAGCGCACATATCATGCTTCTATAATTACGCTCGAGCGCCCGGTCAACTGCAGTAGATTACAATACGAGTGAACTTCAGTCGCTCTAATGACACAATCCGCCGGCGGGGTGGGTTCATCTTGGCCGCAGCTCGCAGCTTATCTAATCCCGCCGACTGGACCTCCAGCTAACGCGGGAGATCCCCAGGTGTTTCGACGTCCTATCGTTCATTGAAGATATTCAAGCCCAGGTCGCCTTCAATACTTCGGGCCGATTTGACATTAGATCGTCGAGGTCTCGGTACTTACGAGAAGTCTCTCTCATCAGTAAGAGGGGATATTTGGCCGACACGCGGACGCCCCTTAACCTACAATACAACCACCCCGACACAGCTTCTCCCAAGCTCCATCGTCCAGAATGCATCTTGTTGCCAGACTCCTCGCCGTCGCGGCGACGGGCTCACTGGGAGCGCATGCCCTGGAGACGTCGATATTTACCTTTCCCGGTTCTACGAGGGCGGAGCACGGCTCCGCAGGGTTCAAGCAGCAGACTATGACGGAAGATGTGGCGCGGCTGGTATTGGAGCTTCGGACTGAGGCTTCGTTGCAGTTTGTGCTTGGGAAGGCTGACGCTGAGACTGTGGATCGTCTGAATGAATATTCAGGCGCACAAGAGTCTTTGTTTGGTGGAGATGGGTCGCAAGCTACACCGAGCAGGAATTTGGTTGTGTTCGAGGGTGTCAATGAAGCTCTTGGTACGTCGAACATAACGATGGTCGTGGTGATGTGGATGAGAAGACTTCTTCGGCCAATATTGGGCGAATGGCTCGCTAATTGATGGCTTGCATCTCTAGGTACGAGCCTCCGCAAAGCACAACCGCATAGCATCATCGTCCCGCATGCGTCCTCAGAGTTGGTGGAGGGCTCGATTGCGGATCGTTTAGACGCCGGAAAGATGAAGAAGCGTTGCGCGTATTATTCCGGCGATAAGGCCAAAAGTTCAGACTCCAAGGTATTTGGCAACTTTCATTTCAACATTCACTAGAGTCGCAGTATTCGCTGACTATGTTCTAGTCTGCCAAGGAGTGCCTGTCTCGGGATCCTGTGCTATCTCAATCCCAAGAGCTCACGCCCGAGTTCCTGAACCTACTCGCCTCGGTTGAAGTGTGGTCGAGCACTGACAACAAGATGAGTGCCTCAACAGTCGCTCTCAAGGTATCTATTTCCCTTGATTTGCCCAAGCAAACGAAAAACGGTACCAAGCAATAGTTATAAGCTGACACTCGAGAATCAAAGGGATCATCCGACAAGACCGTCGTCTCAAAATCGCTTCAATCGCTTCTCCAAAGCATGGAAAAGCTCGCTTCTTCAAAGCACCATGAAATCACGATCTTGACCATGTCCGCCTTCAATCCGTCCGCCGACTTTGAAAAACCTGCCAAACGTGATCACGATCCATCACAACAGTCACCATACGCCACCAGCGCCCAGAGCATCATTCAAAAGTCCGCCCAGACCCAGGCGCTCTCTTCTGTTCTTGCCCCGATCTGCCACGCCTCGAACTCATCCTGCGCCGACGCTACCAACAGCTGCTCCGGCCACGGCCAATGCTATCTCAAGTCTTCATCCGGGGACTCCAAGTGTTTCGCTTGCAAGTGCAAGCCTACCGTCCGCACGAGAAGTAACGGCTCCAAACAGACCGTCTATTGGGGTGGTCCAGCCTGTCAGAAAGAAGACATTAGCTCGCCTTTCTTCATGATTGCGGGTGTCACGATCTTGGCTATTGTCCTTGTCACCGGCGCCGTGGGTATGCTGTTCAGCATGGGCTCCGAGGAACTTCCCAGTGTGATTGGTGCTGGTATTACTGGGGCCAAGGCTCCTGCGTGAGTTCGGACTCCTCTCCTTGGACAGGTCATGAGGAGATATCACATTATATAACGTTCCCCAACTTGCATGCATTGTTGATGTTCTGATTTATTGCGTTCGTCTTGTGGTCGCCAAAGCCTCAGTTTGCCGTGTATGTACTATCAAAGTAAATGAAATACCTCTTGGGTCGCTTACCTGAATTGGTCTCTGTCCTTCTTGCAATTGCCTACTGTCCAAGGCGTGAGTGGTCCGTGTTCTCTGATCTTTCGAGAATGGAACGAGCGTCCAGATCAATCGTAGACTAGGCATTTTTTGCATCTGGAAGAGATAAAATCCTTACGAGTACCTAGCATGCGCATCTTCAAAGCCCAACGAGACGGAGCAGTGGGAAGTATTCGTGTAATTGAGTCTTGATAGATAGTAAACGTGGTTCGAGGCTTCCTGCCCTGCATTTCATCAATATTGACGAGAACACGACAAAGAACGGCAAGGAGCACGACTCCCTCCTTTTCCAGTATCAAATACCCATGCGAAACCCACGAACCAACCCGGAAGATACAAGGAAAACCGCGGAGGACGACCGACCAAATGTCCACTCCTTGCTATGCGCCAAAAATAAAAAAAGGATAAGGAGTCCATGGGAGAGAAAATAATTACACCAGAAAGAAGAGCCAATAATCACAAGAGAGATACGCCGAATGAACATTCCAGATGTTCTTGTTAAAAGAGGAGAAGAGTCCAGGGGAGGGGATATCACAGAAGCATCAAGGGAATGGAGAAATAGGGCAATTAAAGGTTTGAATATTGAAATCATGATCCAGGATTTAGACACCTGCTTCCAGCTGTCTGGGCGTGCGCTCCTGTTGCTGTCCCGCGGATGCATTAGGAGCAGAGACAGTTTGCTCCACAGGCGCCACAGTTGCTGAACTTGGGGCTGCAGGTTGAGTCGACCGATCTCGTAGGCGCGCCGGCAGGAAACTGCCCCAGGTGCGTCGAGCTGGTGATCTGGATGACTGTGTGGCATCAGCTGGCGAAGATGGTTCCACGATACCGCCGTCTGCCGGCTGTGTTTGCGGCCCGCGAAACGCCGACGGAAATAGACGACCGGAGAACGGCATCGATGATCGGAATAGACTTGTAGAATTCCCACGGCGTGCAGCTCGAGGAGGTCTGGCAAGAGCCTCGAGGCGTGTAGACATTGTGCGGCGCCCGGAAAGAGGGACAGCAAATCCATCAGGGTGCTGGGGGCGTGGCTTGGGGGTGTAATAATCAGCTTTGCAGAGTGGGCAGCAAGCTCGTCGACTGGTCAACCATGGGTCGACGCACGATGCGTGGAAGGCATGTCCACAGGTGAGACCACGAATGTCATCGTCGTCCTCAATAGTATCCAGACAAATGGCGCATGTATCCCCGGGATCAGGAAGCATTTCGGCAGGAACAGCTTTACGGATTTGGTCACCATCTTCCTCATCTTCCATCTCATGGGTCTCATTGATCATCGAATGTTGCCATTTCTCCTGAGAGGCACCCACGCCAGCGTTCGGCTCTGCAAGGGCAGACGTGGCCGTGTCCGTCAACATATCCACTGGACGAGCGCTTGCATCCGCCCCATCCTTTTGCACGATTATCACCGGCGCATCCGTCAACTGCGCATCTTCATTCAAGGCTCTGGAAGCGTCGGGAATAGAAGTCGGGACGGGTGCGGGCATAGTATCAATTTCCTCGTCCCTCAAGCTTTGTGGTCTGGTATTGGGAGCGGTAATGCCGCCTTCTGTTGGTAATCCTTCGTTGGCGCGAGAGGATCTCCAGACTTTGTATTTGACCAAAGGAAAGCGTTCGTTGACTTCGTCCATTGTCATCAGCTTCTTCTCGCGTCGCCGTCGGTGCGTGCGAGGCAAGTTTGCCAGATCGATGGGTTCCCCTGTTTCTTCATTCCGTAATTGGCGGTTGCGTTGATTGTAACGGAAGCAGTACTTGACGCCAACGATGATCCTATTTTCGAGAGAAGAAAAGATTAGAGAGCGACCGGTGGAACGAAGCAGTTAAAAGAAGACCTACCAAAGGTTGGTAAACACCACACCAAAACCCAGGGCGACGAAGAATAGCAGAGGCGAGCTTGTCGCACCCGAGCCCCCGGAATCGCCGGAGGCCGTAGTTGTAGCCGCGGGCGCACCTGTCGTTGTTGAATTGGACGCCATGTCGCAAAAAGACCGAGAAATGGCAGACGACAGGTTGGTGGACTTTTTGTGTCTAGCTACCTGGTCGCCGAGCAATTGCGGAGTTTGGCAATCGCCCTTGACGGGTTCACGGTGAGGGAGACTTAATAAGTCGAAAGTAGTCGAGGGTTCAGCCAAGGAGCATCCCTCGGCGAGGACGATGAGGATCGAATCCGACAAATAGTTCTCGCAAAGGACTCGCGAACCGACTATGTGTCAACTCCGTAAGACTCCCACCCAATTTCAGCGACGCAATCGAGCGCATGCAGCGGCGTGAAATCACAATGAATCAGGCAGGAGGGGCTGACTGATTATGGATCGACAACGGAGCCAAGGAGACCCACCAAGCTAGTAGAATCGATGATGGGTTCTTCGAGCCGGGGCGTTCTTTGCTGGAGATCGAACAAGTCCAGAAGTCCAGTTGCTAGCACCAAGTCATAGTATAAAGCGATGGAATGTGGAGATCCCGTGTATGGCATCAAGGAGTTGACTTGGGCCGAAGGGATGAGAAGGAGAAGATGAGAAGAGGAAGGCGAGAGCCAGCCGGCCGCATGCGTTCGAGAGGGGGCAGACTGAGTTTTGGGGGAAAGAGGAGACAGGACCGTATGCGGAAAGCGAACACCTGAGGCCAACAGCCGAAGTCGACCAAAGTCGCCACTGCAAGATCGGGGCTTGTCACATGCACACAGATTGACACCTGAATCATGAGGCGATGATAAGCTCTCGGGTGTGGAGTCAGTTTACCGGTCCTCAGGTGTAGGCCGCTTTGTAAATTGTCTAGTCGATTCACTGGTGTTTCATGTCAATAGGAAGTCTGTATGAGGTGTATGGGGATGCCTCGGAGCGTGAGTCTTGGTCTAAGCTGTACGCTCAGACACTGTAGTCTCGCTGGTTTCAAACCGATTAGAATTATGGTGCTGTAAAGTGCGAATATTACAATTTCTCATTTTCCATCATAAGTACCAATTGGTCTTATCCCGAAAACTTAGTGGGAACTGACCCACCGACGAACGAACATCCATCATGTGTTATTCGGTGCTAAACCTCCAGCTATCAATCAACTGTCGGGCCTTCATCTTTGTTTTACTCATTCTCCACCAAGTTCCTTCTTCTCGGCCTTGATATCCCGAGGGCAACGCAGTCCAGGAGCAATAGTAATATCCGACGACAGCCATGACGTCCATTCAGCCCATCGAGCCTACAAACCCAGTGGTCTTCTTCGACCTGGCGCTCGGCAGTAAGCACGAAGAGAACCGCAGATGTCCACTTCCCTGATATTGTGAATTAATGCTGATCGATTGTAAACCAGGCGAGCCCCTTGGTCGGGTCAAAATGGAGCTGTTTGCTCATGTCACTCCGAAGACTGCAGAGAATTTTCGTCAATTCTGCACCGGAGAGAGCAAAAACCCCAAGGGCCAGCCTCAGGGTTACAAGGGTAGCAAGTTCCATCGAGTGGTACGGACACTTTACATCAATTGAGCAGTCATAGAGTGAACCATGACCGCTCAATTGAGATGACTTTTGTCTCATGAGAAAAGCGATCTGACATCTTCTCTACAGATCAAGGACTTTATGATCCAGGGAGGAGACTTTGTGAATGGTGACGGCACAGGCAGCTGCACCATTTACGGCACGACAAAATTCGCCGATGAGAACTTTGCACTCTCACACGACCGTCCCGGACTTTTGAGTATGGCGGTGAGTTGAACTTATATCTGTCACATCTTTGGCGTCCGTCTCGACGTGGCCCGATGAAGCGACGACCTCCTGTGCGTGCAATGAGTGTGGCATTCATCGAGCTAACGTAAACTCAGAACTCTGGACCTAATACCAACGGCTGTCAATTCTTCATTACGACCGTGGCGACACCATTCTTGAACAACAAGCATGTCGTGTTCGGTCAGGTCATTGACGGGATGGACATCGTCAAGATGGTTGAACAAACTCGGACTACCCGAGACAAGCCGAACCAGGATGTGACCATTGTGCAGTGTGGAGAGATGTAGGAAAACTGTCTAGTGTCTAATGCTGCGTTCTGAGCTCAAAAATTAGGCTGGCGGAGAGGAGGACATCTCCCATTGCTGCTTCTAAATGACCGAGAATATAGTGTTGATGTAACGTAGAAAACCGCTCGGTTTGGTGTTACAGATTCATTCTTTATATCCACACTAATCGTTGATAATGAGTTTCAACCTGAATCAACTGTTGGTCGAGTAATGCTGCGAAAATTGAAGACTTGCGCGCAGCCAGACTTGAACGGATATGAACACAATAGCATCCTCAATCTCGAATGTTTTGGAAAACTCCAAATTCCCTGTACCTGGTTCTTTGGACGGAGTCCAACTAAATATTCAGGGTCTTCATGTGGTGCGCTTCTTCGCCTGTTGACAAGTACTTCTTTCGCAACAATATGCAGTGGGCCTTGTAGTAGAATGGCTGTGCTCTTTTGGAGCTCCTTCTCGTGCCGCGCCGCGTATTCTCGTGACACAGCGGCCTCAGCCTGACAAAAGGATGTGCCCCGGAGCTTGCCTAGAGCTTGAACTTGCTCAAGTACTCAGTAGCCAATGTCACGGCTTCATCGACCTTATCCGGGTTGGTGCCATTGCCGATGGAAGTGGCGCCCTTGCCTCCGGCTTTGCCACCAATGCTGCTGGAGACCACGGAAGCCCACTCGTTCGCCGAAGCACCCTTATCACCAAGGTCCTGGAAGGTTTTGTAAGCATGAGTCTCAAGAAATTGTTGGCAGACAGAAAGATTGATAGGGTAGTGCTTACTTTAGCCACGTGGCAACCGTGGGCAACACGAGTCTGCTCGGGGTCCACAGCCATGACATAAACGCTCTTGTTCTGCAGCTTGGACTTGACGTGGTTGATGGACTCGCTCACGGCCTTGGCACTAGCAGGCATGGGGAGTTTGACAACGAGCGTGTTGGAGTCCTTGTTCTCGGGCGCATCAAAGTAGGAGGTGATCGCTTCCAGAGCCATCTTGGATTCCATCTTTTGCTGAGCCTTCTGGCCATCCAGAACCTGCTTGTTGATCGCGGCATACCGAGTGCGGAACTGCGCCTTGCGCACTGCAGAGACGACGAGTTGGTTCAAGTCCACCTGCACTTGCTTAGACTCACGTTCCTTCTGGGGACCGAGAGGCATGGCCTCCAGTCGGTCAAGACGCGCCTCGAAGTCCTTGGCGACTCGCTGAACTTCATGGGCTTCTTCACCGGTAACCGCAATAATACGTCGGATACCCTTGGCAATGCCGCTCTCTTCCAAAATGATCAAGTCCTTGATGTCACCAGTTTTTTGCACATGGGTGCCACCGCAGAACTCAATGCTCACTTGTCCCCAACGAGGATCCTTAACGTTACGCAGGATTTCTTCGATCTCAACACCGACGGACACGACCCGAACAGGGTCAGGATAGGTCTCGCCGAAGACGGCACGCACACCAGAGATCTCTTGCGCAGTCGCCAAGGGCAATTCCTTGGAGTAGACAGTGCAGTTCTGCCTGATGTACTCGGTCGACTTGGACTCAATCTTCTCAAGATCCGCATCCGAGACTGCGGCCTTATGGGAGAAATCAAAGCGAAGCTTCTCGGCCGACACCAGGGAGCCTTTTTGATCAATACCGTCTCCCAGAACCTCACGGAGAGCGAAGTTAAGAATGTGGGTACCGGTATGATTATTACGAATGGGCCATCTGCGAAGCTCATCGTACTCACAAATTACAGAGTCACCGACCGAGAGGGATCCGTACTTCATGAAACCAGTGTGCAAGACGTATCCGGCGTAGACCTGAACGTCTCCAACTTCCAATTCAGCCTTGCCGTCGATAATGATGCGGCCAGTGTCAGCCTCTTGGCCACCCTGCTCAGCGTAGAAGTTGGTGCAGTCCAGAATGACACCAAGCTGTTCACCATCTGCAATCTTCTCCGTGTTGTCGTAGAAGGTCTTGCCATGGTAGATAGCCTTGACATGAGCAGTAATGTTCTCGCGGCCAAACTTGGCAGAGTCGTCGGTCTTGCGCACATCGTTCATCTTCTCCAACTTACCGAGGTCGTGAACGTCCAGCTTGACAACGTTGTCCGCAGCCTTCTTCTGACCCTTGCTGGCCTCTTTGGCCTTCAAGCGAGCCTCTTCAAATTCGGCGTCGTCGATACGAAGAGAGCGCTCCTCGGCCATGATCTGGGTCAAGTCGACTGGGAAACCGAAAGTGTCGTAGAGACGCCACACATCCGCGCCATGCAACTTGTCGTCACCCTTCAGCTTGGCGTGCTGGGCGTATTGCTCAAACTGGCGCTCACCACGATCCAAGGTCTTGGCGAAGGAGATTTCCTCCTCGTCCAAAACCTCCATCACATCCTGCTGCTTCTTGACTAGCTCCGGGAACATACCACCGAGTTGTTCCACGACGGTGGGTACGAGCTTGGAGAAAAAGTTACCAATCTCCACCTGGAAGTACTTGCGAGCATAGCGAGCACCACGACGCAGCACGCGGCGAATGACGTATCCTCGACCCTCATTGTTGGGCATGACACCATCCGAGATGGCGAACATCAAAGTGCGCACATGGTCCGCAACAACACGGTAGGCGGTATCGATACCATCGGGGTCTTCGGCGCCAAATCGGCCTCGGTATTCCCGGGCACCGGTGGCGTTCCGAATGGCCTGGAAAATGGGAGTGAACACATCCGTATCGTAATTGGAAGACTTGTCTTGAAGGACAGAGACTAGACGCTCGAAGCCCATTCCTGTGTCGACGTGCTTGTTGGGGAGAGGCCTCAATGAGCGGTCTGCCTCGCGGTTATATTGGATGAACACATTGTTCCAGATCTCCAGGACATTCGGGTCGTCCTGGTTGACGAGAGATGCAGCGTTACGGCCGCCGATGCGGTCGTAGTGAACTTCACTGCAGGGTCCACAGGGGCCCTGATCGCCCATCTCCCAGAAATTGTCCTTCATGTTTCCAGGGAGAATATGGTCTTGCGGAACGCCCACGGATCTCCACAGATCCCGAGCTTCCAAATCGGGCTCCAGACCACCCTTCTCATCACCCTCAAAGTATGTCACGTACAGTCGATCGGGGTTTAGTCCGTACACTTTCGTGAGCAAAGTCCACGAGTAGGTGATTGCCTCCTTCTTGAAGTAGTCGCCGAAACTCCAGTTTCCGAGCATCTCGAAGAAAGTCTGCAACAGAAAAAAAAGTCCCTTGATTAGCGACCCAACTTCACGATGGGGAATGTGCATTGAGCACCGAGGCTGAACTCACATGATGATAGCTGTCTTTGCCGACATCGTCAAGATCCTGTTATGTGCTAGTCAATACCGATGGTCTTTGGTTGCTGTGCGCGATCGCCCTCCACTCACGTTGTGTTTACCACCAGCACGAATGCACTAGAATCACCGCCATTAGTAACAGAGCCACTTATATACGGTCATCATGTAGTCATTGTCGGACTGTACCTTTTGAGAGTTCACAGCGCGTCGCAGTTTCGCAAAGTCTGATTGTGGATCCACAGTACCGAGGAAGATGGACTTGTACTGATTCATGCCCGCATTGGTGAAGAGTAGAGTCGGGTCCGATAGAGGAGCGACAGAGGATGAAGGGACTAGTAATTGGTTCACATCGTCAGCGACTGCGCAAATACAGCAGGCCGTGGCTCAATTATCGCAACTTTTTTTGGAGCGAGTGAGGTGGGCGCCGAAGAGGGGTGGCGGCGGGGTTGATCGTGGGAATTTTTGTTAGCATACCGAATGTATGACCATTCTGCTTGAAGTAGTCCAAGAAAGTCTCTCGAACCCGAGGAGCAGTCCACTCGGGACGACTAGTATCGGAAGCCATCCTGACGGACAAGTGTGAGAGTTGTGGGGAAGGATGGAAGAGAGAAGTGTGGCGGAGGGGGTAGAAGGTTCTGGGAGGAGCACAAGTGCGGCGAGCAAAGTGCGGAGGATGACTCAATGAAGAGACGGCCACCGCGCATTCCCCCTTCACCACTCTCCAACTCCCACCGAAGCGCATTGAAGAAGAGACCGATAAGACACGCCTTGCTTGCTTGTTTTGGTTCTGGATTTCTGTCTTTCAGATCCTCACTCGAGAGAGAGAGAGACAACGAATCCAAGAAGAGGAGAACAAACAAACCGAAGAGGCGGAAGAATGCACCACTGTCCTGAACCGATTGCGGTTCTCTAAATAAGACGCTCCGGATATCCCTCCTAATCGCTTGAATATCAACTTTGTCCTGGAAACACCTCTTCTATTTGTATCAGACAGTCTTGTCCAGTGATTCATGGATGGCGCGGAGTGATGAGCTTCCCCAACACGGCAGAAAGCGCCACGCTGACAGCGACCCGGATGGCGCGCAGCCCCTAGCAAAGAGATTTGGATATCTTCATATAGGTATGTCTGTCCTCGCTGCGGAGCATCCGTCTTGTAATGCAATCTCCCAAGTTTCTCAAGGCTTCTCCCCTTCTTAGGTTCACTGGAAGCTTAGAAGGAGGCTGCGACACCCGAGAGACCTGGCCCGGAAAAAGGTTGACGCATTCCCAAATAGGAAATCCGTTTGACGCGCCACCCCGTGATCATTTGGATGGGCTCAATGGCAACAGCCCTTCTCGTACCTCTGCAGCGTCGAATTCGCTGCCTTCAAGCGTAGCCACTGATACATCGGGTTATGGGCATTCTACAGTCTCGTCGACGTCCCTAGCTTCGGCGTCTACTCCTAGCAATGGAGCCTTTATTGATTCAGATGCGATGATGCTGGATGATACACCCCATACAACGTATATTCATGATCTAGACCGTGAGCTGGCTGATGTCGATGTCGCTGATGGGCTTTTTTCAATACACCCCATTGCCGCCAAGATGCTTTCGGTGCCCGAATCAGTTTTGTCGGGCCCAGCCCAGGGAAAGGAGCTGGTGCTATATTCAGACCCCTCGTCCCTGACAGTTCCTAGGGAACATGACAACGTGCGAAAAGCCATCATTGAATCCAGAGCAAGAGCGAGAGAGAGGGCTCGGTCATCGCAAGCAGTCATTGATTGCCCAATGTCGTCCTTGTCCAATGGTGACTCTGTGAACTCGAGGGAGCCCACGAAAAACGACACACAATTTACCGACGATGGTGATGATGGTGATGATGGCGACGCCATGGAGATTGACCTCATCTCCTGAATCTTTCAAATACAGTACTGAAAACGTGAGCTGGAACGGCGATGGTCTTCCAGGTTCAGTCTAAACGTGGGGATCTTATTATCATTGCGAGGAGCTCAAAGCATCCGTGGGCGCCGTGATTTGATCTTGCTGCTTGAGATTCATAGTGATCAAACAAAGCCGGAAAGCAGATTTGAAGTGGGTTCTACATGAACCCTGCACCTTTTCATACACTCGGTTGATACACGGGAGAAATTACAAGGCTCAATCTTCAGCGCGAGAGACTCGGCACAGGAGTAGACCGCGACCACCAGTATTGAAACCTGTAAGTAGAATCTTACATGGCAATATAGTAATTCAGCCAGATGATTCCCACTCGCAAGTACACATTAGACCCTTCTTCTTTTTTTTTTTTTTTTTGTTCTAGGACAAAATTGCTTCGGTTATCTTGCCTTCGCAAAAGACCTGCTTTTGTCAGGATTCTTTGATGGAGAGTAGGCCACGAAAGTATATCCTTACACTTCCGCGCGCCAAAGGGATCCTCCCCATGTACGACACATCATGTACGAAAAGACGACTATAGATCCGAGCAATCGTTCTGGCCTCGATTCTCCGCATATTGAGCAAATGCAACTTTTTTTTCTCAAACCTAAACCGATCCTCCCAGACGACGTGTGAATTCGTGCTCGTCACAGTAGGCACATAAATGGATGGAAACACAGCTTCCTGCACATGAAACTAGAGATCCGAGAACCTCTCTCTACTGCCAAGTTCCTTCCCTGACATTGACCTTCCCGCTGTCCTTCCGACCTTGACCATATGCATCATGATCTCGAATCATTGGTCTCTTTCTTTTTCCGTTTGAGAGCGTGATTTTTCGTTCCTTGAGATAGTCATCTGCGACTCGCTCTGAATTTGCGCGAAATTGAACTAGTTGCCGTTCAGACTTCCACAATGACGGCGCAGGAGTCGGAGATTGGTTCTTGGTCTTGACCTCTGCCTCTGTGGCTGGCTGTTGTTGCCAAGGGGACAGGGGTGAGAGCTGATGAATCCACTGGCTCGTGATTCACAAGCCTATCAATCGTCGCATCAACCTCTTCGAATCTGATGTTTCTGGCGTCCTCTACTCTAAAGTCGGTTACGCCGTGGCCGCCACAGTCGCTTCCCGAATCTTCATGATTGCTCAAAGCGATGCGATCAAGCACAGCATTGAGAACATCATGAAGATGTGTCAATGGAGTTGTTATCCCTCTCTCTGAGCTCGAGAGCTCTCGAGACGACTGGTTGCTTCGCTCAGCCGCCTTGAACTCCAATCTCTTGAGTCGAACACCTTCCAGCTCTCGCTCCTTTTCAAGATTCGCCATGGCTACCAACCCGTCTGCCACACCGAGAGAGTAGCTTAAACTCGGGGCCCCACCTTTGTAGGCACACGCCCACTCCGCGACAAAGTTGTGTGTCATTTCGAAAGCACTCGCAGCCGCCATGGCGCTCTCTGCGATTCCATAGAAAGTCAATATGATATGAGTATCCATGTGAGTTGTGAAGTACTGGCAGTCGAAGAAGACACACATAGCCCAGGACAGGTTCATCGCAAAGGTCTCTAGTTTTATCTTGTTGGACACACCTGCGACTTTGTCAACCCGAACATTACTCTCGCTGTCGTAGCGTGATTTGCTGCTTCCCTTGTCGTTGGTCATCAGATCGGCCTGGGTGACGCTGTGCTCCTTCATGAGTCGCTGAGAGATGAAGAGAGCGGTCTTGGCCTCGGATTCCGACGCATTGGCATGGTAAGCGCGATCGAGACATTTCTGGATCTTTTCCAAGACTGCCTTGTTGACACCAGGTGGCTTTTGAGAATGAATGGTCTCTTCGGACCTGATGATGCTCGCTCTCTGGAGCAGCCGCCTTGGTGCCAAAATTAGTTTGCAGAAGGGGCGATGAGATTCCTCAGGGCAAAGGGGCCTCAGAAATGAGCAAAAGACTTCACAGCTGTTGGCAAACTAGGCTGGGAACGGCCGAAGAAGAAGAAGAAGAAGAAGAAGAAGAAGAAAGAAAATCAGTGGGCACTATATGAAGCTTGGTAAGGGGGCTTCCAGCTGGAAAGATCCGGCACGGAACTCCGTCAACAAGAGCAGTGAATGAAGTCGAAGGAAGTGAGAGCACAAACGCGGTTTTCGAGGCTCCTTACACAAAGGGTATTCAGCACTTGATCCTATCGGATTCTTTCTGCTACTCGGCGAGGATGCAGTCCTTCTTTCTTTGGATTTGGAGGAATGAAACGGCCGACTTTGTTGTAATTAGGGGTCTCGAAGCTTTCGAAGCCAAGGCAAAGGCGAATCTTTGAGATTTCGAATTGAGAGACTTTTCTTTGTCTGCTAAGGTGTTGAGGTTCTGATCGAGGACACAGTTTCTCCTTTGCTCTTGGCTTACTTGCTTTGAGCTCTATTGCTTATATCACCCCAGGTTCGTGAGAGGTCAACCAGGTCAAATTCGCAAGCTAAAGGGTCAGATTCTAACAATCTTAATCAACAATAAATCGTCGTAAATATTGAATGAATAATGTATAGAGTGACAGAAATCCCTGCATCACCGTAATTCCTACCTGAGCGGGCACGAGGATCGAGACTACCTGCAATTCGACGTCTACTTATTCCAAATCTCCCGTACACATCCCCCGAGATCGGACTGCAACGAATCTAACCATAGAGCCTTGTTATGATGAAGGTGTTATGATGAAGGCGAGAGCTCCCGATGTTTTGACCCATGTAAAAAAGTTATTACCAACGGCCAGCTGCGATTCTCCCACGCTACCCATCGTACAACTGGACGGCATATTATCTAGGTCCACTTCAGGATCAGTAAGATTATACCAGAAGTGCTCGTTGGCCTTCTGGACTGCCTCATACAGAGCATCAATTTGTTTCATCAATGTGTCAATCATCGCCTTGCGTGTATTGCTGTCGCTGGACATGATGGCCTGGGAAGCGCCCACAGCGGAACTGATTGGGGTTGGTGACTTAAGCATGGCGGAAATGACAGGATGAGGGGACGGACCCAGGCTGTCCGTCGATTGTTCCAGCCGCACAAGCTCAAGGAGCAATCTGATCTTCAAGAGACACACACAGGTTCTGTGGCTGAGATCGAAGAATGGGTGGCAGAAACGCTCGACGGACTCGAACATGTCGGCATCTTTGACATCGAGGTATGGCAAACTAGTGTCTGCCCAATTGAAATTGGAGTTCTCCAGGGTGTTTGCCCATCACTTGATGAAGTCGTAGGAATCCTGATCTCTTTGGAGACGGATGAGCAGTCCAGGCACGAGGCTCCGCACGCCCATATTGTCCCCACGGCATAGTCGCAGTGAATCCATACAAATTGCGCGGTGGCAGACGCGACATGATCAACCGATTCCATGTTTCTCACCAGCCTGTAACGGGCTCACATGTAGTCGCGCGTTTCGAACCCCCCCCCCCCAAGAGGTGTCCAACACAGCTGGTAAAAGGATCTTTAGACATCATGACATCCCCAGGATGATGTCGAAGTTTCTGCTCCTCAGTCGCCATCACGTTACGTGCTTTTTTGATGGCGCTACACGCAGCTTTGTGTGCTGGCCGATCCGCGATCTGACAGTCGCGACCGCAGTAGGGCAACGCTTTGCAGCCAGAGCAAATGAAAAGATCATCTTGGTGGCCACAGACAGCACATCCAGAAGGAAGTGCCTTTTTAATCATAATGAGGAACGTGAAAGTCGACTAAACTGGGCAAGTGAAGCAATCCGACGGGATATACCCAGATGGATTCCCTCGGCCGAAGAGAAGCAGAGTTGTGAATAATGCGTGGATGCGTGCTGCTTCCACTGGAGTTGATTGGAAAAGATTTCGAGCAAACTCTTTCCTTGAGTGGCCGGGCGAGAGGGATGGAGGAACTTGCCGTTGTTGAGCTATAATTGAGTCTCGGTGCTCTATGGAAGTATCCTAAGATTATATATATCCCTAGTTATCGCTACAGATACCCAGAAGACTAACGTTAACTAGGCTGTATAGGATAATACGAAGGAAAACTTATAGGGGAATAACTACTACTATACTTATAGTACTACTAATAGGAAACCGATGTTGAAGACTTGGGTGTTACGGACTTGGATTTCTTCTGCAGAAGAAATCAGTATCAGAAGGGAGACGCGGTACTACGCTAGTACCACGTATACTACCCTAAAACTTAGGATACTACCGTAGCTTCTTCTTCTTCTTCTTCTTCTTCTTCTTCTTTCTCCTCTCTAGCTCTTAAGATTCTTAATACCACGTAGTTAAGTTAAATAAATAGTTTCTGAGTCCTTCTAAAACTTTTCGTAAACTAGTATATAATATTATCTTAAGAGCTCTTCTCTTTTTATAACCCTTTTTAAAGTATTAGCTAGGTAGTAAGGTACTACGTCCTCTAGCTACCCTAATATCTTTATATATATATACCGAACTAATACCGAACCGAAACGAACTATACTAAAGCTATAATTAAACGATTACGCGAGCGAGACCCTTCTATAGAATAAACCCCTCGTATAAGGGGACTCCCTTTGTTAAAGTACCCCGTTAGGTGATCCGTAGTTCAGTGATTATCAGGTGATCTATAACCCACGATCCAGGACTAGCCACGTAATAAGCAAGGCCCTCCCGTAGCTTCTAGGAAGCTAGACTCCCGGGCCCCTCCTACCTGGTCTTGGACCCCCTATTATCCTGTATGTTCTAACCCGAAGGATCGTAACCTTCTTAGTAGCTCTGTCCTACCTCTTCGGGTAGCCGATTAATCGATCGATCGATAGAAGAGGGAGTTAAGAGTAATCCCCTCGAGAGTATAGATATATTAGGGTTAGGATCGTAGGGTGACTAGGACTATTAACTAGGTAAAGGATTAAAGTCTAGGGGGGCTCTAATTTAAAGACTAAATCTCAAAGGTCGGAGTTCTTCCTCCCTTCTACGATTATTATATATACGTCTCCTACGTACCGCGCCCGTATCCTTAGGGCTATAACCCGGATAGATTTATTAGCGTTCTGTATGTGATTCTCCCGCGGCCGCGCCTTAGTAGGTCGCGCTATAATAATTAATCCCCTTCTTTATACTAAATATCCTAGCTAGAAGTCTCCTAAGTTTTAGCTATTTATATATATACTATATAATATATATAGTAATATTCGTATCTCTATCGGATAATAATATTCCTTCGTGTTACCCGACTTACGACTACAGATAGGATAGTAGGATCCGCTATACTAATAAAGAAGATACTATTACGGAATCAGATATAAGTCGGAACTATCGTAATAGTAGAATAATAAGTAGGATTAAATAAAGGTAAGATATAGCTAAACCGCGATTAGTATATATATAGTTATAATTTTATATTTAGTATACCTAAAGGAACTAATAATTATAGGATTAAGTATAAATAAGTAGGAAAGGAGGATATTTCGGGGAGCTCTCGGAGATATTATTATCTTTGCTATAAGTAGAAATAAGATTCCTATCTTTTAATAATTATCTATTATTAGCTTCTATTTTCTTCTTCCTTAAATATAATATCTCCTACTTCTTATAATTATTACTATTATACTAAGAAAGATATTATTAGATATATATCTCTAGTACTAAACTATATTTATATAACTTATAAATATCTTTAGTATATATAGTACTCTAGAGAGGCTAAAAGCTTATATAACTACTTTACTACTTCGGAGCTATTCTAGGTAGTTTATACTTTCGATCGGATTAGTTTAGTATTATATAAGTTATATAATAGTTAGTATAACTTATATAAACTAATAAGAGACTCTAGATCTTTATAAAAATAGTAGTAATTCGATATTAATCTATTCTAGATTCTTATAGATATAATATAGGATATATAAGTATTCTAGTAGTATCTATAAATCTATTAGATAATCTTTAAAGATATCTAAGAGTTAAGTATTACTAGAGGACTAATATATATTCCTATCTAGCTAGTCGTAATATATACTAATCTTTTCTTTATAAGTAAAGATCTAGTAACTATCTTCGCGGGTATAGCTATAGCTTATTAGAAGGAGTATTTTTTCGAAGGCCTAAAATATATATAGTTAGTAAGGAAAATCTAGTATTTCGATAGTATAAATATAAGCTAACTTAGATAGTATTATTACTATTTCTACTATATAAAGATAAATAATTAGTACTATAATTAGGTATTAATTATAGGAGCTCTAATTAAGCGGATTAACTTATTACTAGATCTAGAGGAAGGAGATACCGGATTTATACTATAGTAAGTTAGTCTGGTAAACGTTATAACTTATTTAAGAGATATAATAAATAACTATAGAATATTAGCGGCTAAGGCTATAGCTATATATAATTAGATATTAGAGTTTATAAAGGAGTTCTAAAGATAGTTTAGGGATATTTTAGTCTTAAGTCTTATATTTATTATTTAGTTTTTCTTATCTTAGTTTTCTTATATTTTTAAAATTATATAATAGCTTTTACTATATTTTCTATATTATAGTTCGAAATCTATTTATTATATTTAGAAGACTAGTTCTTCTATTTAACTAGAAAATAAAGCTACTAATTAATCTTAGTTTTACTCTTAATTTCTTCTATTTTATATTTATTCTCTTCTTCGGCTTAATTAGATATTAGTATCTTTTTAATACTACTTTATACTAGATTATTATTCTTCTTTTCGAGAAGAGAGATATAGAAAATATTATATAGATAGTATAGTAGGGAATCCGGTTATATATATATAGAGTAGATAGTCTATTAAGGTATATATATCTGATAGTAGCCTAATAGTCGGGAGAGGCTATTTAGATATAATAAGAGGGAGTTAATTAACTTAATAACTATATAGAGGATAACTATACGGATACGGATAGATAGTATATAACTATCGGATTAAACGGCTTTAAGAGAGTTTAGTATAGTCTTTATAGTCGGATTCTTTTATATTATAATAATATACTCTTTTTAATCCTTATCTTTACCTCTTAATATCTTATAGATAGGTATTATATAGTCGGGTTAGGAGATCTCTAGACGTATATACTAGTAGTTATAGTTTAGTTCCTCTATAACTCGACCTATCTAGTAAGATTAGACTACCTTAAGTATTCCTATCTATATTAGTAACCGATATAGGGGCTTTATAAAAAGGTAGCTAAGATAGAGGACTATATTATTCCTATAGTATAATTATAGGAGGATCTAATAATAAGATTAATACTACTAATATTCCTACTACAATAATAACTATAATTAAGACTATAACTATAACTAGAACTATAACTATAACTACTACTACGACTAAAATTTTACGACTTAGCTATAAAAGAGTAGATAATATATTTAACCCTAACAGAATTTAGAAAAATAGCTAAATATATAACTTTTAGCTATATATAAGGGGCTACGTCCTCGGAGGATTCTACCGCTAAGAAAATATCTTTATTCGACCGATATACCTATCTAGTTCGCAGGTTATTAGCTAATCGATACTAAGAGGATCGGAAGATACTAATTTAACTACTAAAAATAACTCCGGACTAATTATATAAGATAATATCCTCGGTATACCTAAACTTTATATAGAATTAGTATATTACTTTAGAACGACTACTATAGGCTACGACTATAAAGATACTACTAGATAAGAATACTACTTTAAGATATTAGCTATAGATTTCTTCTATAGAAAAAATCTCTATCTAAGAAGTAAAAGAAGAAAGAGAGAAGAAGAATTAGTAAGAATTAAGAGTTATACTACTATCCGGATTAACTACTAATTTTATAATCTCTTTAAACTTAAAGAATTAATTAACTTACGAATATTCTAAATATTCTAAATCTTATAGTATATCTCTAGATCCTATTATAACCGAAAAATCCTAAAAATATTAATATCCGAATTTAATAGAACCTATAAAGCTAAAGTAATAACTGAAATCGAAATCTAAATCTAAACTACCGAAAGAATCTAAGATATCTATAGATATATCTATAAATATAATACCTATAAATATAACTTTATTCGAGGTCTATCGTAATCCCGGTAATTAAGCTTCTTTAGAGTCTATAGAAGATTCGCCTAAAGTATTTAGTAAGAGAATTATACTACTACTACTACTATCTCTTTCTAGACTAGTACCTTTACTAATACTAATACTAACCTAAGTCTATAGCCTAGGATTAGAGATATAGATACTAAGATATATTATCGGGACTATACCTAAGTATTATAGCGCGATCTACTAAGGCGCGGTCGCGGGAGAATTACGTACGGAACGCTAATAAATCTATCCGGGTTATAGCCCTAAGGATATAGGCCTAGTACGTAGGAACTATATATATAATAATCGTAGAAGGGAGGAAGATCTCCGACCTTTAAGATTTAGTCTTTAAATTTAAGTCCTCCTAGACTTCGATCCTTTACCTAGTTAATAGTCCTAGTTATTCTACGATCCTAATCCTAATAATTACTAAATCTTCTTTTTAACTATCTAAAGGAAAGATATCTAATCTACTAACTTACTAGTATTCTATCTATCTTATAGCCGCTAAACGTTCTAAATACTATACTAAGATATAGAATCTATAAGCTAGTAAGAGTCCGACTCTATAGATCCCTACTAATACTTTCCTTAGTTCTACTAGTAAGACTACTCCTCCTATATCTAGTCCTAGATCTCTTA